TGTTTGGCGAATATGTTTATATTAATAACATGTTTTCATATTTTAAGAATGATTTGGTTTATACATTTCAGACTTAACACACTGAGCCAGACATGTATAATACGACTCTGCCTCAACTTTATCAATTTTTGTAATATACTGTGGATTCATTTATTTTCGTGGGTACCAATTTTCGTGGATTGAAAAAAACTCACACTTTCGTGGATATTTAATTTCGTGGTTTTACCATAGTCTGCATACAGGCCAATGGAAAATTTGGAATTCGTTGAATATTTAAATTCGTGGTTCACTTGTACCCACGAAATCCACAAAAATTGGTATCCAACGAAAAATAATGAATCCACAGTATCAGGAAACCTGAAGGGTTTTGATTTTTGAACATATACCGTAATTCAAAATATCTTTTTTTTTCCAAAAGCAAAGAATTAGAATTCAAATGTTTGAAGCATTTTATTACCATTTCATAGCACACAAAAAACCGTAAAAAATCTCATCACAGCATGCTGCAATACTTGAACTTGATTTGAAGCATTGAATGAATTATTCATATTGCACCAAGGTCTTATGGTCATTGTTCCTGTCAGTGTAACATCATAATTTCAAAATAGGGATTCTGACAGAACGGCAATTGAATACTACGTACCAACAATCAGGACGACGAGGGCATCGTGATCGGGGTAAGATCTAAGTGACAAAAATCTTTAAGGAACTTCGACGAAGCAGAACAGGTTGTTTCTTACAACACTTAATTAAACAGCGCTTATATATATAGCTAGCCTTACTGCCGGTTGAAGAGCTTGTCATGATGAAATTTCGATCAAAATGAAAGCATTTCGTCTCCTGTTGCTCTTGCTCTGATGTGTTTTTGTGCTTTTCCTGATCATGTTGGTTGTCCATGAAGAATTATCGGTAACGATCTATGTTACTAGTATCTTGTTTAAATGTCATTGTTTATCTATAGATACTTTTAGAGACATGGTTTCTTCACGTCATTTTTTTCAATTTGTCACTAGATTCTATTCTTTCTGTCCCTTTTTCCCTCAATGGTATTTGTCTACTGAATCAGTACGTCGTCGGTTATACCTTACGATAAGCATACCCCAAATATAATTAACCTTTTAGTGAGAGTATTGGATACTTGGACCTAATCCCCAAAACCAACTTGATTTATGGACCATGAAATTGAGGTCATTGTCAGGTGAATCCTGTCTTGCAGAATTACTCAGCTCTTCTACTTATTGCAAAAAATAAGCTTTTTACAAACAAGTTACCCCGATACCATCGCTTGAATAGCATATGCATGTATAATAGCGACATTTTTAGTGGTCTTGTGATGCTTGTGAATTTGATTTTATATATGTGTTTCATTTTATGAACTAAAAGTTACTAAAAAAAATCTAAATAACTATTGTGACACCATTGCTATAAAAATGATAAAATTCAGAAAATAAATAATAAAAAGATAGCAATTAAATCTTTTAATCAATTGTTTGAATTACTTAATTAAAGTGTTAGAATTTATTGTATAGAAACTGGTCTCTATATAATGTGAATTAAAGCTACATTATTATGCAAATGAGTTTAGTCCGGGTAGATTTCCCGCTAGTCATGCACGCTTGATTATGGTTTTCATTTTACGAGTAGATAGTTATCTAGTTAGTTCGCTGCTGAAAGTTGACGGGGTTGGATTCTTTTGTATTTAAGATTTGTCCAAAGTCATGTGGTTGTTATAGTTGGAAATATCAGGTATGTGTGTGATAATTTCTATTGCTGGGTTTCTGTATTTTTCGGTTTGATATATTAGTCAAATTAGTTCTAGTAATGCGGTATTCGCTATTCTTGCTAAACTAACACTTTATTGCATGCATGTTCCTTATTTTTACAGTTAATGCACATCCTTGACGCACAAGTATGAGTTGTCAGTGAGCCTAAAATCCATAATTTTGGTAAGTGTATATTAATGTATTATTTAAGTGTGAGCGTACTTTTTCCATATTTCCGGCTAAATGTGTATGTTAATGTAGAAAATGTTTTCTATGTTCTATTTTTATTCTATTACATTGAAAAGTATTTACAAATTAAAAATACATACAGTTTAACATGAGCGTGAAGAAATAATTCATTGTTAACACATGTAGTGATTGCCGACACGTTTTTGTCGAGAATACTGAGATAATTATATTTTACTTAGTTTGATACAAGTGTATGGCAAGCCGTTCTTGTCAAAACTATGTTTTAAACCATTTTTCGAAAAATGTACACACTGAGGATTAAAAAAACACACTGAGATTAAATAAATGGAGAATGTGTTCCCATGGACACAGATGATGCCCCCGCTTGCATACAACATTATAAAGGGACATAACTCAAGAACAATAAAAGTGACGCTACCCAAATTTGTACTTGATCTTAGTTTTGTGGTAATAAGTACTGTGTATAGGTTTCATGTTTGATTGGGGCAAACTTAAGTTACAGAACAGAAACTAAAAATTTTGCAATTTTTCGATTTATAAAGGGGCATAACTCAAAAATGGTTAAGGTGACACTACCCAAATTCAACTTGATCTGTGTTTTATCAGTGGAAGTCAAAATTAAAAATTGCATTGTATAAAGCATTGATTGTAGTTGATTCAACTATAATCATGGACAAAGGAAGATAACTCCAATTTTAAAAATTACTTGGAACAATGACATCATTGATATTTTTAGATAAAAATGAAAAATTTAGCAATTTTTCCATTTGTAAAGGGGCATAACCCTAGAACAGTAAAAGTGACGCCACCAAAATTTTAACTTGATCTGTGTATTGTGGTAATAAGCATTGTGTATAAGTGTGATAACATTTGGTTGAGGCAAACCTAAGTTAGAGAACGGAAACCAATTTTGGGACGTACGGCCGTACGTACGTACGTACGGACAAACGAACAAAGGTAAAACTTACTGCCCCCTCCGCATCGGCGGGGGCATAAAAACCTAAACACACACACTGAGAATTAAAAATTACACACTGAGATTTCATAAAGACGCACTGAGATTACAAGAAATGAAAAAAAAAAACTAAGAGTTGAAAACTACACACTGAGAATTGAAATATACACGCTGAGATTGAAAATTACACACTGAAATTTCAAAAAGGCACACTGAGATGAAATAAACTGAAAAACACACACTGAGAATTTGAAATTACATACTGAGAACTGAAAATTACACATTGAGCTTTGTGCGCACTTATCTAATTAGCATACGTAATCTGGAATCTACTACAAGCTAGAAACAACTAGGGGACAGAACTCGTTAGTCCTTTATTATGGCGTCAAATGTTTTATAACATATATTAAAAATACAATGTATAGAAAAACTAAGTTATCAAAGACTAATAGAAAAAGAAAAATACCCGCTTACTCTCATTACAAAATATAACTAAATGGTGAGAATGTTTATCAAAATTATAAGAAAATATTGGAACAATCTGCACAAAGACGAACAATTCAGTGAATTTTTTACCCAAATGCCTATTTAAGCAAATAAAAGTACCCAAAATATTAAAGATTACCTTGCAAAATCAGGGTAACAGTTGAAAGACTTTTTAAAAGTGACCCTTGCTTAAACAGTTTTAAAAACAAAATCTCGATACACTGATAGTAATAATCTTAATTATAGGCAATAAACTTAGGAATACGAGTTAGCAAAAAATGATGTTAAGTCTTGAAATTTATTGCGAACGTTGGTTGAAGAACCGCATTTCATTATAATGACAAGAGTTCGGGAGACCAAGATATCAATCTGTTGAATTATTCATATCATGAATATTCATTAATAATGTACATATTAATCTCAGTGTGTAATTAACAATTCTCAGTGTGTGTCTCAATTTATTTCATCTCAGTGTGTCTCAGTGTCTGTTTTTCATTTTTTTAAATCTCAGTGTGTAAAGTTAAAATCTCAGTGTGTAATTTCGACTTCTCAGTGTGTTATTTTAGGTTTTTAAATCTCAGTGTGTGTTTTTTCGAAAAAAGGCTTTAAACATAGTTTTGACGAGAACGGCTTGCCATACAAGTGTGCAAATTATAATTGCACGACGAGGTATATTTTTGTAGAGTTACATATAATAGTTTTCATTTGTATTGCGTGATAACAGTAATATCGATCGTATGTATTTATTGATCATATTCACGGGAGAATTCGACGGAGTATATTATTAATGATACTGTAAAGTTCTGAGAACATTTTTGTAAAGTTAAAGTTATTTTCATTTGATAATTCATACAGATTAAGAAAAGATGAGAAATACAAATACTATGTTTTATTGTGCATTGTGTTATGTAAATGCTTTCATATATGTTGAATGTTGTATTTAGAATTTTAATACAGATATTGGCATATAATTATAATTGTATTTATTATATTTTGTAGGGCGTTGATTGCATTATATTGATTACGTCTGGTGCCAATAATACATTTATCAACTTTAAATGGATTGGTTTTGTTAGCCTGATGAACCCCCGTTACATGCAGGTCTCACATTCAGTGATATTCGTCGCAGTAATAACATTATCGATACCAATTTCCTTGCATCAGATGCGCATGTCGACAATTATTCTCACTTTAGTGATGCGTGAAACCAAAATATTTGAAATAACACCTTATACAAACAGCGGATAAAACCAAAAAGGTCCAAAGCGTAGCCAAATTTCGGACAAGGAATCAGAGCTTTGCGCGCGGGAGATATATTCCTGAATTAAGAATTATGTCCAGAATATATAACAAATTTGATCAAACCATTTTTTTCATGCCACGCGGGCGAGACATTTAATCGAGCTTTTTTAATAATGGATTCTATTTTGAATACGATTTTGACCATTTGTGAGACTTCTTTTGCTAATAATCTATTTCTTTTTCACCTTTAGTATAGTCTAACTGCCTATATGTATTTTTGATTTAAAATTAAACTTTTAACGTTTGATGGAATGTCGAATCTTATTTTAAATAATAAAAATGGAATCAAATCGCTATTTTCCAATACATTTGGGTTACAATTATGATTTAGATACTTACATTAACAAATAATACACCAATTAATTACAATATTGATTTATCCTTGACATATGTCATTCATTCAGAATATTCAAGGATAACAGTTCATATTCACTGCCAGCGCCCTATATCCCCTTTGCATGTCAGTTTTTGAATCATCCCACTTCTTAATGATCCTCACCAATTTCACACACAAGGACTTGGTTAGAGCCTGTAAAAAATGTTAGTATAAATCTGTTACTGTTTGGCTTGAACCGTATAACCCAAGGATGGCCCGTGATGGTATTGTCTATATCTGTTAAGGGAATGATTCGTACCAGTTGTCCAGTAGATGTCAACTGATGAATGTTTTTGGACTCGTTTCCGATGATATAAATGTTTCCGTCGCTATCAACGTCCTGGAAAAACGGGCCTTTTAATAGACTATTGTTATACGTAAAGCTATTTCCCTGATTGCTCTCCCTTTTAATCGAATGCCCACTATCCCAGAGGATGTACTCATTTTTCTGGTAACAATAAACATATCTACCGTTTACTTGTGTTTGTTTACTTCTAACTACTGTACCATTTTCAGCGTTTAACCAAGATATTGTTTTATCATAAGTAGTAACAAATTCGTTTTCACAGAACGAAATACCCCACACAGGATTGCTAATATTTAACGTCTTTAATATAGTCAACGGTTTAACATTGATAACCACTATCTTCTGTTGATGTGAAGACACGGCGACTGTTTGATCATTCACTTTAGCTATGTCTGTTAAAATGTGAGGAATATCTAACTGTTCCTGTTCTTGCCCTTTGTTGTCGTAGTACACGATCTTATATTGGCAATAATGGGTTAAAATAATATCATTATTAAAGAATATCCCGCTAACAGCATGCATTGTATCATCAATTGTGAACACTTTTCTGATTTTTCCTGTATGGTAATTTGCTATCTTCATTCCGGGAATAGAAGGCCGGTACTCATTAAAAATCAAACGGCCGAGAGATACGATGTCTGAAATAACATCTTTATGTTCAAACTTTATCGATATAGTTTTCATTTCACGTAGAAGTTTAGAAATGTCTTCTCCAGTTTTAGGAAGGTTGTTTAAAATCTCGTCCATCATGACCAGGCATTGTATTTCTGATCCTTGAGATATACAAGCTTCGAATATTTTCTTCCAGTTATCAACTGTATTCTTTAGGCTGGACAAATCTGTTGTTTCGTCGTCAAGCTTAATTATTTTTTCTTTTCTGTTACTGTTGGCCTCTTTCTTCAGTTTTTCCTCCAGTTCATTTAAATGTTTACAAAGGTTTTCTCGCAATTTCGTGATTTCTTCTAGAACGGTTTCTATGCCATTTTTAAAGTTTTCTTTATTGGTTTTTTGGTTCTGTAGAACTTCTTCTAATGTGTGACTTGTTTCTGTTAACTTTGTCATCAAGTTTGTTGCTTTGTCGGATTCTTTTATCCCAATCACCGCTTTATCAATAGTGACAACTTGTTCACATTTTCTGTGGTTGACAGTGGCACAAACTGTACAACAAGGTTTGGAATGATCCTGACAGTAAACTTCTATCGTCTTGTCGGGATGTTCTTTACATGTGACACACGCATATAGACCGGACATGGAAGTGTCTGCATTGATATCTGTGATTGGTATTATCTTATGACTTTTCGATATTTTGTAAATTCTGTGGCCCTTTCTGCACGATTCACAGTATGCCTCTTCGCAAACAGTACAGAAGGATATAGCTTTCTGTTTGTCCTGGTCACAAGTATCACATAGCTTATCAGGTTTCTGTAATTCCCTCTTATATATAAGTGATACGATAAAATGGTTCCCGGGTGAATTATCTGCCCAAGTGTCAGGCTTCTCATCATTTTCATCAATTGGAACAGATCGACGACATACGGGACATTTGAATTCATTCGGATTATTCCATTTCACGGTTGAACCAATATATGTATTAATACACGACTTACAAAACGTATGCAGACACGGCAGATACTTAGGTTCTTTGAATGTCTCCAAACAGATTGTACAAGTTAGCAAATCATCAAAATCTTCTTTCACCTTTTCTCCTTTCACCCCCGCCGACATCGCCATTTTGTGGTAACTTTTAAACTTCCCTGTCCAAAGATCGATCGGATATATATATGTAGCCTGATTACCTTGATTTGTTTTCACGTGACTTTTATTATCAAAATACACATGATACATTAATAGAATTGTGTGAGGGAATTCGGTGATAGCTATACACAGTTTGCTTAATCACACAATATGACAATACTACTGAATAAATCCTATTCTGTCCTCCTTCAATACTAAATGTACAAGCCTAACAAAATATCTAGACACCTTATTACTTTTGTTTGTTGATGAAAAAGTTATTATAGTTATAGTTGTCCTTTTCTGTCCTCATTCAATTCTTTCCTTATACGCACTATCAGTTGTTAAGTTTTATAAGTTTCCATCAAACATTACACTGGACGAGTTCATGTTATTTTTATTCAATAAAACAAAAAGCATGAAAGGTTCGATTTGCCAGAATTTATTTTTCCGCAATATTCTCGTTATGCAGATCTTTTGTAAACCAACTATAATTGAAACGGCTTGTCTTGTTATACACTGATCCTTGGTGTTAAGGTTACACGATACAGAATGACGTTACGCTACGAGTTATCGTCCCTGCTGTTGTCGACATCCATGAAATTAACGGCAAACGTAAAACGGGATGTTTTATAATAACTTTGAACGAATTAAACAAACAATTTGCCTCAGTCTGGTATATAATAGTTGAAAGATAAATGTTTCTTTATTTCAAATTTGCAAATATATATGATTATATATTAAAAATCCCTTCATTTTAGTATTGCTTTCTATACGTATCATATTCAATTACTTAACAAAAACTTTACATAGATGCGATTCAAATGAAATTACAAAAATGAGAAAACAAAACACTTATGGGATATTTAAATAAAAAAAAATACTTATAATAAAAAAATAATGAATTAACCTTTTATTTTTAATAAACATTTTTAGTAGTAACTTTGAGCATTATTTGACATTGATTGCTTCGGCGTCTTCCTCCCATTCTCTTTCTCATTCTTTACAATTAAATATATACTTTTTAAATGTTCTATTCTATTGATAAGTAAGCATTTGCACGATTTAGCTATATGTGTTCTTATTCACAACAGAGTAGTTTAACTTGGCCTGGAGCGTTGGCGCCTTCAAACTAGTTTAACCCCGCCACATTCTGTATGTGCCTGTCCCAAGTCAGGAACCTGTAATTCAGTGGTTGTCGTTTGTGGCAGAAATTGTACACGTGAGAGCGCTTACAAAGCATTTTCCGTATAATTAATATTTCCAAGGGCATTACTCTTTTAAAATTAATTGATCGGCAATGATTATCAAACTTGTCAGCGACAATATTGATATAAACCTAATATACAAGTATTATAAGAATCTGGCACGAATTGTACACGTGATAGAGCTAAAAAGACTGGACGGACACACGGACGGACGAAATGACGGACGCCCGGTATATCTATGTCCCCCACAACGCGTCGCGCCGGGGACAAAAACCAACGAGTTCTTACAATCATTTTGATTTTAGATTCATATCAATTTGCACTTTGGTCTTCGAGGATGGGTATGTTTATGGTGTTTTGAGTTGGACATGATGTACAAATGCACAAAGTGGGGACACAAAACGACTCACAGAGGATTAGCAAAGGTACCTTTTTGGGGTATGGGCATATTGATCTCATAGGTGTCGTGACAACCCAAGAGTATTCGCAGTCTTATAAGGAATTTTTACAACAAGTATAAACGTGTGTATGTAAATAAAAGGTGTTGTCATTTCTTTATGTGCATAAATGGAGATGTGGGACATACAATAAAACAGCAACTGACCAATTAACGACACACAAAACCAAAGACATCTAGATAACACGTGACTAATGCAGGATGGAAGATTATTTGTGTACTGCTAATTTGTAGTTTTAGTAAAGATTCGTTGGTCCCTTGAATTGGAAAGTTTATAAGTATATTTAGTATAGCAAGTATTGTAACATCAAATGTTCACAACATTGGTCAGAGTTTAACTATAACAGCAACATATTTCAGTCTAGTACGGATTTGTTATTCTTAAAACTTCTTGTATTCAGGAGAAAACTCAAACCATTATGAAATATGGAGATGTGGTATGATTGCCAATGAGACAAGTTTCCATCAAATACAAAATGACGTAGATGTTAGCTTGCTTACATTGCTACATTTGAGATCTCCCAATTACCATTCCACAATGAACTGCTTATTAAAAAACTTTTATTAAGATATTTTGTCACCAAATGCCTTATGAAATAGAACATCATCATATAGGCTAAAATATATTTTGCTCCGTCGACAAAATGCTGAGAGCATATTGATTTTCGTTCGACAGTCCGTCCCGCACTTTGTATATAGGGTTTATACGGCTGATTTCAATTTTTTTGGTGTTAGTACATATACTAAAGATGCGTATCTTTTCAGATTTTTATTTTTTAATATTGCGCCGAGTGCTTTACCTATATTGAGGCTGCATATATATTCTAAGGATTTTTTTAATGATTTTCCACGAATGACAGAATGTATTACTAAGTATTCTTAAGTGAAATTTTCCATACAGTTTTCAAGGTTTGTCCGACTAACTACGCACACAACTCGCACGTTTACATCATACAGAGTATACTACATTTAAAATGTGTATTTTATCAGAATGTTAATTTTCTTGATGGTTTTCACAACTAACAGAATGTTTAACCGTTTCTGACGGATGCACCAAATGTGTCTTTAGACACAACTATTTCAAATTGTATTGTAACGTCCTGAAAATGCATGAAATATTTGCAATTGGACGTTAAGCACCCATCAATCAATCAATTCAAATTGTACTTCATCAGTTTTGTGAACTCTGACTAATGTTGTGAGCATTACCAAATCAAAGTTTTGAAGAATTTTATTTTTTTCATGCATGGATACAGCGGTGACTTCACCTTTTTTCTAGTTTGGTAGGGTTAAGTTGAAGATTCAGTTTTGAAAAGCTAAAAGTGCACCCAGTTAGGACGAAATAAAATAAACTCAGTAGAATGTTATATTGAATTAATAGGAAATTAACACAGGGGGAATGAAAATAAAATAACAAACACCGTTCAGATCCCGTTACATTTTTTTTTTCAATATCTCTGAATAAAAATAACGTTATTCTGTATTCAGTAACGTCACACGTATCGTTCAATTTTGAAGCAATTTATCTAAAAAACAAGGATGGTGACTTATGGGTTTCTATACATGCATGGATTCAGTATAAAATCCTGGATATTATTTTAGTTTTTAGTCTTTCTCCGTATATAAGAACATAGCCATCCATTGACAAATCTTAAAAAATTAGTTAAAAAAAAGACATTTTCCCTATATGTCTATGTAAATTTGTCGCCAAAATTGACGTGTTCCTCTCAAAATTACAAAAAAACAAAAATAGTGACCCCATTTTTTATTTCATATTCCGATGTAACTCGAATCAAAGTAAAATTGGGCCAAACATTTTAGAAATCAGGAGATATGCCATTCGGTATCGTGTTACCTTAATTGCAGCTAAACCATTTGTAATGGAAAAAAAGGATATGGCATATTAATTCATGATACAGAATTACTATGCACACATAAAAAACCAAAAGCAAAGGAACAGTTTCTATCACGCTAATTTACAACTGTGTATTGAAAAACGCAGCTATGGGATAACATCAACAAATTACAAGTTATATCTGGCAAAGAAATCTAACAAATGCTGTTATTCTTAGATAAAAGAGGGGCGAAAGATACCAAAGGGACATTCAAACTCATAAGTCGAAAATAAACTGGCAACGCTATGGCTAAAAAAGAAATAGACAGATAACTTGATAACTTCTATAGTATTTGATCTCTTTTTGATCATTGTTATTTTTTATTTATGATTTTTATTTGCATTATTCTTACATAATGTCTGCCAAATTAACCTATCTTGATCCACCCTTTGATATGCAAAATACTTGTTTCTGTTTTTTTTTTTTCAATCACGTTAAAAATCAGGCTCATAATTTTTATACCTTTTCAATGATTATTAAAACACCTTCAGTTGTCAACGACATTGGTAAGATATAAATGGTCGTCTAAAAAAGGTAATGCTCGTATATGATTATTACTACTAGTTTACTTGCTGCACAAACGTGTTTGCCTTTATGTCTGTTATATGTACAATAACGTAATTTTATTGCCATGGTTGTAAATTATTTGTAGATTAAAAGTCAATTTTTATTATTGAAATAAGTATGAAGAAATGGAAAGGTCTTAGTATTTCATTTATCTTTCAGACGATGAGATTATAGCTTCAGTGATAAAATTGGAAGAATAATTTTATTTTAGTAATACAAATTTTACGTCTTCTGTCAAAGGCGACACCTGGCTCTACAATGTCTGGTTATTGTGTCCTCGGATGCCTCAATAATGTGCTCATTATTTTTATTATTAATCATATTTAAAGTGTATTCCGTGACAATAAGTTTGGATTTTCTATACCTTCGCTTAAAATTTTCCGTCTTACAGTTTGTCTGAGGTGTCGTAAATGGTGTTACAGTCTTCTGTGGAATGTAGCAAACCATCTTTACTAATTTTTTGCAACAGTGTGAATTGTTTGTCATCATTCTGAACATCGGTCAATCAGTTAGTGATTAAGTCCATAGAACTTACAAAGACATTACTTCAATCGGGGTACAACAAATCACTGTATAGTAAGCAGTTTTGTCCTGTCCAGAAAGACTCGGTAATTGCAAAAGACTTTCTTGTAACGTATGAGTTGAGTGATATAAAATTAATACGCAGTGAGTGTAAAAACTGATTCAATCGACTTATATAGTGTACGTGTAAAACATTTAAATAGAGGCAAACTGATTTCTAGAGGAATCAAAGAAAACTAACATGAATAAGTGGCAAATCAAAATATAAGTATAAAACAAAGTAAGTCAGAAATGAAGGTTACAATTCAATACAAAAGAATGTAGTATATTGAATATTGTCTGGGCATTGTCATATCTGATAGTTTTTGAAAA